AAACTAAATCATGGTCAAAAAGAAAACGACTAAAAGACATGTAAACAACGGTCAACCTAACACTACCTAGAATTAACAGATGTGTACATGTAACACAGCCCCAACAGAACAGGGGTAAACTGAGTTGCTCAGGAAGGGTCAGCATTTCCTGCTCCACTAGTGACACCCGCCGTGTTACTGCTGTTAAAATACGTCGCTGATTGATATCCGGTGATAAGACATCACACAATAGCGGATTGGTATTAAAATTTATTTTTTTTGTAAGACGCCACCAAATTCATATACCATCGGTCCTGCAATTTCTTTAAGAAAACTGATCGGATATTCAATTTTGAAATGAAAATAATGGTCTCCATGAAACAGGATAGTCAAGACTGAAGCTGTTACCGGTAGAAACAACACAGAGATTAAGGGTAAAATATGGTAAATGTATAAATTTGAACAGTTTGTTCTTATACTGGTTTGTTACACCACAGACAGTGTCATGTTTGTGAGAGCAAGGGGGGTGAGCGCTCACAAACATGTTAAATCCAAACACGTTCTTTATATATATATGCCTGGCCAAAGCCAGAAACCTAACTGTAACGAGTCTGTGCCATCTATCGGTCAATATCCTCTCGTTAATGTAGCTATCGATAATGAGTCGGAGTAGAACGACTGAATTAGTCGGATTACCAGAAACCTGTAATTCACTGATTGTCGTTGTTTGCTGTCAGCCATATTTGTTTTTAGTTAGTTGTTGTAGTATAAGTGTTGTCGTCGGTGGTTTTCTGTTTTAAATCTTTCTCATTTTGTTGAACAGGAGACTTTATATTTTTCACTATATGGTATATGTTGAAGACCATATCGTGACATATAATTGTCCACATCTTTGACCTTTGATCTCTATGGATGGTTGTCTCATTGGCAAACATACCACATATATAAAAATAAGTCGATGTGGTATGATTGCCAATGCGACAACTTTCCACCAGAGATAAAATGATGTAGAAGGTTAGCAACTATATGTAACCATATTACGGTCTCCAACAATGGGCAAAACCCATACCGCATAGCAAGCTATTAAATGCTGCGAAATGACATTCGTACAACAATTCAAACGTGAAAACTAACGGACTAACATGTTAATATTTTGAAATTGAAAATAAAATACTTAGGATTACAAACAATACTTGAAACGGAAGCAAAAGCAACATAAACAACTTGCGCAATTAATTATCAATCCTTTCTGCTAGTGTTTCTTGTACTTTTAATGAACATATTAATATGCATAGAATATTAGTGCCTAAACTTAAACCATCAAACCACGTGACCAATTGACAGATATATCCATTCGTTTCATATAATGCATATTTCAAGAAGAAAGATCCAACATATTTATAATTGGAAAATGTCAATCAAGAAGCGATTGCGACTGAAATATAACACAGACATTAATACAGGCTGATATCCAGTTGAAATTAAACAGAAGAAATGGAACTCTTTATTAGAGAAGGTAGAAATGGCCAAGTTGGTATATTTGAATTGTTTACATCTGTGTCTATGGGTTTTAAAAGTTTAATGTAGGTGCATAATTTAGGATTGTATGCATCTTGTATACGTATTGATACTTAAATTATAGTATGGAGCTTCGAGATATTTGTAAACTTTTAAATTAAGTACAAATTTTCACAAGACAGTCGATTGTGGTTGGTACAAATACATTTGGATCTTTTTTGTGCATAAGCATAAATTCTGCAGAAAAAAAAAATCAACAGAAAGATAAAAGATTTTTTTTTTTGGAAAAAATCCCCCAAATGGACAATAATCTCATAAAAAAGAGAAAGTCGGGAACACTTGTTTATGTACAGGCGTGTTTGAGTTGACTGTTTTGTCTCAAAAACGTACAAAGCAAAAATACTTGATCTCGCTTCAGATTCTATCATTTTATATATTTAGGCTACAGATTGATAAAATAACATTAAGAGATCACAGTACCAAAAAATGAAATATATGTGCCAAGTGTAAAGAGTCATAACAACAGAGTAGGTGTGTTTGAATAACATTTTTTTTTACTAAAAACACCAAACGACAGACTTTGCTTATGAACCTTTTTGTGCATAACTCAAAAAAAAAATTTTGTGTGTGTGTTATCTAGGATAATTAGTCTTCAACCTGTAATTTTTTTTAGTCTGCCCTTCCACAAAATATTTAATTTAAACTTTACGTACTTTCGAAAATTTTCCCTAACAACCGATCAGACAATAGTTTTAAGTTGACAAAAGGCCTAAAAGTACATTAGAAGATGCTTAATAGCTAGTAGATACATTTGTCTTTTAATATAAAACTGTCATTTACGGATCGTAATGATGCAATGGGAATACATTTATCAGATTTCAAGAGCTAAATTGACAGCGCGTCATCCCTACAACGGCGATCATTTTCACGATTAAAAAAAATAGGAGAGATAATTTTGACAAAGTAGAATGATGAAAATAGAGCAAAAGATTAGTATTCAATCTATACGTGGGATATACTTAAATCTATAATTTAATTCCAAAATTTTTTGTTGGCAAAACCTCAAACCGACAGAACCATTAAATTATGGAACCTTGCCCCTTTAATATTGTGAAAGGACACTAGTTGGTGTTATTGAAAACTAAATTGCGTTTAAAGATACCATTGGAAGTGTATTATGTTTTTGAAGGTCAACTAACTTAATCATCTTTTGGTCAGTGGTTAGATTCATGTTGCTCAATCGTTAGTTTTCAGTATATTTCTTTTGATTAATTGTTGTTTTTCATTTCGTATTTTTATTCTCTAAATCAAATTGTGAGAACGAGTGGCACTTTCAATTGTAATTCTAATGGCGGTGCATGAAGCAATATATCGTTTGATTCATGAATATTATTTTGTTTTTCTAAACCTTATAGTAATGTGCTCTGCTACAACTTTATTCTTATCCCAAATTAAAAGGATATACAACGCATTGACTTCTCGTTTTTTTTTTGTATTTTGTATTTATAGTTTAAAGAAAGTTATGTTTCCAACTTTTGACATTTAACATTGTTTTATCAATTGTAAAGAATGCAAACCCTGTTCTTTGCATTATAAAAGGAACATTTCCATAGTATAAAGATATATTTTGGATACTTATAACAATAAATGTACATGTACTTTATTGTTCATTGTAATAAGCATCCATATGGTATTTCTTTTCTGGAAGATTTTCAGGTCTCGGTTTATACATGTTATACGTTTATAACTTATAGTTCATAAATTGTTAGTACAGGAGGGGTTAATAAAAAACCTCATTTGGTCCCATAATGCAAATAATACCTAATACATTTCGCACGTCTGCAGCAATTTTCTGAATTGAATTTCATAAGAAAAGCAAACATAAACATTATGAAATATACAATATAAATATTTTTAAACATTCATGTTTGATGTCATATGTAATTTTTTTTTCTGAACATCAATAGCATATTTCAAAATATATTTATGTTAACTTAGTAAATTTGATATTATTAAATGGTCATTACATCCGTTCAATAGGATATTACAACTTTAATAGATTCTTCATTTCTAAGAAAGTAAACATGTTGAGCACAGTCTATTCCAACACCTGCGACAACTCGTTTCTTAAATAAACACAATCCGCTTTCCTGTAGTTTTCTATCATTTGATTTGTTGAGTAGCTTAATTGAACTTTAAATGCGTAGCATGTATACTGCACATCAAAAGAAACAAAACATTCATCATAGATTCGATATCAAATAGCAATTGATGTATAGAATCTTGAACGATAATGTAATCCATCATTCACATTCTAATGGTTTATAGAAAATAAACTGTTTTACATCGTAAACATTTACAGTAAATATTAGAGTTTGTTAACATATTAAGTTTTTGAATTGAATGGATTATATTGTTTTCAGTTTTGTTAAATACTGATATCAATATCATAGATTATTTCACATTTTTAGAATTAGGAGGAGGTAGAGGTATGGTGGTCAACAGACAACTACAAGACACCGTACGACTTTCAAAAATGAGCAAATTTCCGTATAGTAAGCTATAAAAAGCCCTAACGTGACAAAGTTTAAAAAAATCATCTAAACAATAACCAACGGCCTAAAACATTAAAAGAAAAAGAAATATCATGAGACAGCAACAAACTAAGGCTCATGACTTTGGACAGTTAAGTATAAAATGTAGCGGTATTAAAAATGTTTGTGAGCGCTCAACCCTCCCTCATAATACTCGTTTGTTAAACTATTTATCTTTTCGAGATATTGAAATTTTCAAATTTCAAAATGTTTTGCTTGCCACGTTAATTATTATTGTGACTTATAAAAAATATTTGATTTATGAGAAACGGTTTAAATGCACAAAAAACCCCACCCCAAAATGCATCATAAAGGGTATAAACAAGAGACGGAGGATACAAAATAGATAATCAACATTCATAAGTAGTAAACAAAACGACAATTCATAGCACAAAATGAAAACGACGAACAGACAGACTGAACAACAAACCCCACCAAAACCGGGAGTAATCTCGATCCTGATCCACATGTGGCACCTAGCGTGTTAACGTTGATCTTAGCAAGTATAAATTCGATGATATATGTTTCATTCGGCGATGTCACAATCCAGGAAAATATATATGTTAACTTCTTTCTTATATTACGTAAGATTACATTCTATGCTATGTACCTATAAGTCATTAGACTAGATATTGTAATACAAATAAAGATTGAAGTCAAATAAACTGTAACTTAAGAAATATGTATTGTCCGTAGAACATACTCCCATGAACAGTTATTGAAGTGTAAGGCATACATTTAAAACCTGTCTAACCGAATTCACGTAACGGTTCAAGACGGAATGTTACTATTCAATTTTATTGGCACGAAGAGAGCACATGCATTGATGTATTTATTTCCCTACACAACTGCATATTTACGAGGTGCAACAAAGTTTTGTCTTGTAATTTATAATTCTAAGAGCCTCGATATCTTTTTAATCATAATTTATTGCATATAACTGTAACAAAAAACTTCCAACATGATATAACTACAATATATAATTATATATACATCTTAAATACATTTATCTTACTACGAAAATAGCATTTAATCAACATATTAATTATGACTAGCTTTTCTTTATTGTTTCAACTTGTTCGGAGTCATTTATCGTTATTATCGTTATATAAATAAATATCATCATATCTATAATAATCGTGTATAACTAGTTTAGTAAATTAGAAATATAGATATTGAAATGTAGAAAAAAAAGAGTGTTTTACATTGAATTTAAATATAGCTTATTATATAGGGGCTATTTTATGACAGCATTGATTTACAGTCTATGCCGTATCATAGGCTTGTCCTGTCATAGTATTTAAGTCTGTCATAAAGTACATCTTGGGACATATCTAAGGATATTTTCGAAAACCAGGCCACTAGAAATTGGGTCTTTTAATGACACTCCTATTTTGTTAGCACTCATCAAATTAAGTTATATAGAATAAATGTCATAATGATTTTAAATTTATTTATCAACAATAGAGAAGTCATGACTATTTCTGTACTCATTCGAAAATTTTATTCAGCTCACTATGTTTGTTTTTATAGTGATTAAGATGATAACACAATGTTGACTGCTGTACCCCTATTTTTGACATTTTTACCTATTGTGTCTGTTTGTTTTTGTTCACGCATCGTTGTCAATATAATAGAATTTGATGCGACTGTCATACAAGTGAGAGGTTTAGCTAGCTATAAAACCAGGTTCATTCCACCATTTTCTACATAAGAAAATGCCTGTACCAAGTCAGGAATATGACAGTTGTTATCCATTCGTTTGATGTGTTTGAGCTTTTGATTTTGCCATTTCATTATGTACTTTCCTTTTTGAATTTTCCTCGGAGTTCAGTATTTTTGTGATTTTACTATTTTGTAGAATGTACCAATCAAACACACTTTTTGCATTATTCTTTTGTTTATTACATCATCTTAAACTCTTGCACTTATACACATGTATATTTACAACAAACTCTCTACAAGCGGTAATGTCACTGTTTCCTCTGGTGTTTCCACGGGTTTAGGAACTGGTTTCCGTTCACGTTTCCAGGTTTTAGCTGATCGCGGTGTTTGTGTGGCTCTATTACGAACTGATCTGAGCTCGAGTCCTCGATGTCGTCTGTCGTGTGTACTTACTACGGCGTCGGCGTCATCAACCAACAATGATGACGTTATATTTATTGACCTACATTTGAATGTAGCTTTGAAAAATTTTCTAAATGTCTTACTCATGAAAGAATAGATGAAAGGGTTAACAACAGAATTAGCATACGAAAAACATGGTGCAACGTTTTGTAGATGATATATGAAAGCGGAATTTGAATTGTCAGAACTAACCGATATAATTGCCGCCATATGTAACGGAAGCCAGGAAATGGCGAAGGCCAGTGCTACTATAGCAACAAGTCTAACTAATCTACCTCTTCGTTTCATTGATACAAGTGTAACAGGCGCAAGACGTGACTTGGTCATTGTTTCCTTCATACGTCTAGCAATTTGTAAATAACAAAATCCCAGAATGCATTGTGGTATCACATAAAATAAAACCAACATCGCGATGGCATATATTTTGCTGTCTGTTTCAGATAGCTCTTCTAAGCAAAAAGCCATGAACTGTGAAGCTTTAAATTCTCTGTTGATGAATATAACAGGCATAAATGAAGAAAGCGATAAAAACCATATGCAGAATATCACAAAAATACAACGTTTTTTTGTCCTGAAAAAGACAAAAAATGTAAGATTTTAATATTAATGTTAAATGTCGAAACACCTAATGCAACCCCACCATACATCATTCACTATAAAACCCAGTACGCGCGGTTTTTCACCAACTAAACACTTTTTCCCGTTATGTGGAAGTTATATTGACTTCAGTATTGGCGAGGTATTACACAATACACAAAATATATATGTATAAAATAAGGCGATGTGGTCTGATTGCAATTTACTCCCAGTGCAATGGTCGTGAATAATATCTTATGTGACAAACAGTGTGAGTTTTGTTTTAACTCATGCAATGAGTTTACTTTATCAGATTTCCACGTTCTCCTCAAGTTGATAAACCTTCCAGGAACTATTTTAGGGGTCAGTAGGTCGTTTGTAAGTTGCAAGGCAAAACTTCTACCCTATCCAACATTCTCAATTATTTCATTTGCACTTGTAGTTCTTTTAAATGTTTTAATACCGAAAGTAGAAGGTCTCACGGCTTCATTTGTTGATCTTTTCCTCGATATTGTCACAGATGGACGACTAGAATCTATGACAAACGTTATGATTTCAACTTCCTATTGTCAACTTCCCGTTTCTCAGCAGTAACATTGGACGTGAAGCAAATAACAATCAATCAAGAACAAAGTGGACGTTATTATCACACATTCTAATGCAATATCGTTTGTAACGTTCATTTTGATTTGATAACGTCACCAATTCTCATGGCATCAATCCACAGCTGATGCTATGAAAACGTACGCGCATGCGCAAACGAAGTATGACAGATTTTAAATGTATGATTTGACGTTGTTTTCTGTCAGTTTCACAAGAATGGAGATAACAATATTGTATTTTAAGCTCCGACGGCATCAATTGGTGATTTGATGGTCGCAAATACCGTTTAACTGGCTCCGCTAACGCGTCGCCAGTAAACTTAGTTTGCGACCATAAAATCACCAATTGATGCCGTCGGAGCTTAAAATACGCGGAGCCAGTAAACGGTATTTGCGACCATCAAATCACCAATTGATGCCGTCGGAGCTTAAAATACAATACAGTTATCTCCTAAATCACACGTGTAATACGTGAAGATAGCTATAATTTATAGCTCAGCTTTTGCGTAATTTTATGTTTTGCGTCCCTTTCAATTATAAAACAATTGTACTTATAGAAAAAGGCAATTAAACATGTTAAATGCAGGAATAACTTAATAGTCAAAGAGCTTTAAACTTCCAAAATTGAAAAAAGGAAAAAAAGGCTGACAAATTAAAGCAATTACTTTTTACGATTGCACAATGTTTCGAAATCAATTCACAAAGCATTTTATTACTCACATCCTCATAAATATGAACTCTCTAATTCTCTTCAATTGATATGCAGTGAATTATGTAATATATAATTAAATTATGTAAAATCATATTGCAAAACAACGACCTCACTTAACTGATATAGAATATTAAACCAGAGTCTACTATTTTTAGGTTCATCATTCCAGTATAAAGGAATGCAATACAAAAGACGTGATCAAAATCCGATGTCGGATTGAATTGATTTAACGTAGCATGAAAATGTCTATCAATATTAATAATGGTTGGTAATTTCAGTATTCGAATTCAAAGTATTTAGGTGTTCTACCTTGCATTCGAGGTAAATGAGATTAAACTTGATTTGGTTTAAACGCAATAAATGGACTGAATCAAAATAGATCTTAGCAGCGAACATAATAAAAAGAGAACAAAATGTAATAAAATAAACATTAAAGAATTGAATGCTTCTTTTTATAATTTGAAAAACGTTGACTGCAGCACATTTTGTATGAAGCGCTTCAATACTTCATATTAAATATGTGCACACGATCAACGCTTTTACACCAATTTAAAATTATAAAAAAAAAAAACATTCTATTCTTATAATCACATCTAATTATTTTTATAAATACCATGAACAATAGACAAAAATAACAAGTGTCCACAAAACGCTTCAAGGACAACTAAATATTGAGTTAAAGAACTCTACAAATGCTACAGTTCATGGATAGTCTAGCTTAAAAAATAAAATTAAACCCTAAGTGCGATGAACGTTGAAACATTAAATAATCAAGATCCTGAATGTCAGAAAATTTTGACTTAATAACTATTTCCGCAGCAAAGTAGGATTTGAAAGGAGTTTAAAACGTTTTGCATTTCGTAAAATCGGCAACACTGTCAACCAAATCAAAACAGTATTTGTAAGACTTCTTTGTCCTTTATAGGTTGTAATTTGTTAACAATACCGTCTTCAATGCAGAAGTGTATATTTAGCGAAGAATTCAACTCAAAAAGGTACATAAGCCACTTTGAACTTGTTGTGAGGTGCGAGTTTTTACTCGTTGTTTTGCAAGTCCTCACGGTGACGTGTAGATTAAGACAGCAATCAAAGCGCTGTTCCTTTGGGTTTTTTTTATTTTGCCAGTCGCGTTTAGGTATTTTCTTTTTATAACGAATTAATCTTTTAAGTTACTTTGGTGTTATTGTTAACATATTGTCATCAATATTGACATGAAACGAGTATTCATAGATTTAGACCTACATGTAACAAATTTGATATAAGGCCTTACAAATTTGATATAAACCACACATTTGATATAAACAATGACACATTTTTAGACACTTAACCTAACCATGTCAATCGCTTAACTAAACCAGTTTTTGATACTAGATTTACTTACGTTGATTTCTTGCAACGACAATTTCGTGAAGAACGTTTGACGTACAGAATTGATCATACATCTTATTTGCTTGTTTGAACTCTAGACTTACATAAAAACTGAGGTAATCGTTTAGGGGAAGAAATATCTGTTTTGGCGCAGATGAACATTCTGATTTTTCCTTTCAAATTGGCAGAAATGCAATACGCAGCCTGAAATGACGATCAGTAATAAACAATTAAGCTCAAAAAATGATTGGTGTACTGGATGTCCTTGCAGATGACCTGGTAATCAAATGAGAAAGATTCTTGTCAAACCCTTTAGTATAACATCCAAAGCTATTGATTTGTATCTTTTTTTTTATTTGCTTCAATCCGAATCAAAGTGATTTATTTATTTACCAATTATCTCACATTTTCATAAAATAATACACTTTGACTGCATAATGTTATGCTGACCTCTTTCAGAAATATTGGGTGTAGACACTAAAAACTGTTCAGATGGAAATCGGGTAAATCTAAGGTATCAGCCAGAATTTTCATCTGCGCTAAAACAGATATTTTTTAGGTCCCTCAAAAAAATAAATATTTCATTTGCCCAATGTTTTTATGACCAGGTACATTGTAAGGTCACAATTTTTATTTAGATACTGAACCGTTACAAACACGCCACATTCTATATGTGCCTTTCTCAAGTCAAGAGCATGTAGTTCAGTAGTTGTCGTTGGTTCATGTTTGTCATATTTGGTTTTTTTCGTTAATTGTTTTGTCATAAATCAGGCTGCTAGTATTTTCAGTTAAATTGTTTCACATATTTCATATCGAGGCCTTTTATAGCCAACTATACGGTATGGGTTTTTCTCATTGTTGAAGACCGCACGGTTGCCTATAATTGCTTACATCCACTATATTTGGACTTTGGTGGGTTGTTGTCTCATTGGCAATCATACCACATCTCCTTATTTTTATATTAAAGTACATACCTAATTGATAACGCTATTATAGGATGAACAATAGCTAGGTACCTATCTATTCCAACCGCTGTTAGAGTCAGGACATGTAGGGATAAACATACCGTCATCATATACTGTACAAATTTACCTATAATTAAAAAGTTACTAGTCTTTCGTGAATCAATTTACAGGCAATGTGTACCTGAAAATGAAATGTAGCATAAGATTAATGTTCGGATTGAAAGTCAGGAATTTCACAAATAAATATTTACCTTTATCTATTATATTTTAAACATATTGACACTAACCAAAGAACGAAAATTGCAGTATACATCGTTCCTAGTTTGCAAAAAAGATGGTAAGGCCACTATCTCTTATAGGCTTGTATGCAGAATTACATATTTTTATAGGCTTGTATGCAGAAATACATATCTCTTATAGGCGTGTATGCAGAAATACATATCTCTTATAGGCGTGTATGCAGAAATACATATCTCGTATAGGCTTGTATGCAGAAATACATATCTCTTACAGGCTTGTATGCAGAAACACATATCTCTTATAGGCTTGTATGCAGAAATACATATCTCTTATAGGCTTGTATGCAGAAATACATATCCCTGATTGGCTTGTATTTTCATAATGGTATCTGTATTCGTTAAAACCATGGAATCAAGTACCCACTCCCTCTCAACAGCCCAAACAAATTTAAAAAAAAAACTGATACCCACAAAAATAAATGAATCCACAGTAGTATTAGTAATTATGCTTGTATTTTAGAGAAGAAAGATTATTAAACTAGAATGTAAAAATCTCTTTGTTTCTAAAATAGTATCATTGTTTTCTTATTTAATCATTTAAAGTTTAAAGGATGTAATTTTGTGCGGATGGTGATATATTGTGTTGACTTCAAGAATATTAATCACTGATGTTCATTTAATGTTAGCAAATGAAATATGAAATGAAAAGAAATATGAAAACCAAGATATTTAATAATTTACAGGTTCTATGTCATGCGATTGATAAGGTGTACCTATAACAGTACAAGTAGAAGTTATTGAAAAGAAGCCTAAAGTGTTTTAATATCCTGTTCATTTGTCAAATGTCGGAAATACAGTTCCATTACCGCATTTGTAATTATTTCAAAACGAGAGAAAACAAAATTGCTCAATATTCATTATTGTGTGGGCGAAAACTTGACATCAAATTCTTCAAGGAGACTGAAAATTGCAATCAGGTCAACTTTAGTTTAAACTATTACAAACTTAAGTATCATGTAGTTTGTAGTAGTCACAAGAGTACATTTCTAGCAATTATCCTAATACCAGAGTCTTAATGCAGAAATTCTGCTTGATAAATAGAAATTTTGTTAAAGATTTACATCTGAAGCAACATATACAAAAAGGCATGTACTTTGACCTATAATGGTTTACTTTTACAAATTGTGACTTGGATGGAGAGTTGTCTTATGGCACTCATACCACATCTTATATCTATGTAGATATCTAAACGTTTAACGCGCAGACTGAATTTTACCAATAATACTGCAAGAAATAAATATGCCACGGTATCAAAATCAAAAAAGTTTTTGTTTGCTATTATTAAAGAATTGATTTTAGCTTCTTAAACCACAATATTGAATTCAAATCACCCTTGCAATCCATTAAAAAATAGGTAAAGGGGGTCACATATCTGGCCTAGCCCAGCAGCCACAAATAATAACTCGAATGAAAAAGTCCAGCTTAAGATATTGTGGTCTGGACCTAGTTGAATTTTTCCCATCAACGAAACATTTAATATGAATTTGCAGTGCCTAGCCTACTCTTCGTTGGACTGCTAAAACAGCAAGCTTTTAATTTTTTTTATAATAATTCAAATTCTATAACATAATCATCAATTGTTCTAAGATAAAACATTTGCATATAGATCAGTTTTAAATGTCATACCAACTTGGCATATCTACACGAAACTACAAAATATTATATTGATGCGATTACATGGAATAAAATTAGATATCTAGATCGACTAGAAGTTAAAGAAAAGGCAATCTTCTTTGGATTATCTTCATCACAAATGCACTGTGTAAAATCAAACTTAAGATGTCTGAATGATATAAACCAATAATAAAATGCATAGACATACAGATACACTATGAACAGAAGGAGATGTATAGAGTACGTGTACGTCAATGGCATATATTAATACAAACAAAGGGAGATGTAGAGCATACATGTACGTCAGTGACATGAAACACTATGAACAGTAGGAGATGTAGAGCATACATGTACGCGTACGTCAGTGACATGTAACAATATGAACAGAAGGGGATGTAGAGCATACATGTACGTCAGTGACATGAAACACTATGAAAAGAAGGAGATGTAGAGCATACATGTACGTCAGTGACATGTAACACTATAAACAGATGGAGATTTAGAGCATACATGTACGTTAGTGACATGTAACACTATGAACAGAAGGAGATGTAGAGCATACATATACGTCAGTGACATGTAACACTATGAACAGAAGGAGATGTAGAGCATACATGTATGTCAATGACATGTAACAATATGAACAGAAGGAGATGTAGATAAAATTGAAAATGGAAACGGGGAATGTGCCAAAGAGACAAAAACCCGACCAAAGAGCAGAAAACAGCCCAAGGCCATCAATGGGTCTTCAACACAGCGAGAAAATCCCGCCTAAACAAAAATGTGTACTAGTTCAGCGAAAATGGACGTCACACTAAACTCCGAAACATATAAATGAACCAAAATTAAAAAAAAACCTACAAGACTAACAAAGGCCAGAGGCTCTTGACTTGGGACAGGCGCAAACATGCGACGGCGTTAATTATGTTTTGTGAGATCTCAACCCTAACCTAAAACTCTAGCCAATGTAGAATAATCAAATACACAGCAATACGCACAGTAAAACTCAGTTTAAAAGAAGTCCGAGTCCAATGTTAGAATAGGTAACATAAGAAACTAAGCAAAAATGACAATGATACATAAATGAACAAAGGACTACTAGCAGTTACTGACATGCCAGCTCCATTCCAAACTGATTGAAAGATTATGTCTTCATCATATGAACATCAAGCACAATCCCTCTTGTTAGCGGTTTCGTACCATCATAAATTATACGAGAAGAACGTAACGCGTATCATGCCAACAACTGGTTTTACAATAACCTTCTGAGTGAATCGATATTTATTCCAAAAAATGCAATCTTTAATGACCTGACAACAGTATCGTATCTATATTCCTTCTGAATAAGTCTGTTTAAAGGTTTGGTTAGCTTTTGAGGTAAATGACGACATTTTTGTGCTTTGTATAGAATATTACCATAAAAGATTGGATGTGAAATACCCAAACGTATAAGATGTCTGCATGTTGATTTATATTTAAGATGATGTCCTTGTACCGATAATAAAATTTAGTAAATGTTTTGACAAGTTTCTAAGATCGAAAACCCTGGTATAATAATTTTCTTTCGTTAAAATCAAATACGATGTTACATACACGCGCGAATCGAACAAGTTGAGATATATAAACACCATAAGATGGGGACAAGGTAACGTCACCATCTAAAAAATGGATAATAGTTATTAACAATAGGAAATGAAAAATCATCTCTTTTATCGTAAATTTTGGTTTCCAGCTTCCCGTTAAAGATATAGATATCAAGATCCAGGAGAGGACAGTGTTCATTGTTAGTATTAGCTTCATTTAAAGTCAGTTCAGTAGGATAAATCTCTTTAGTGTACATACTGAAGTCGTCATTATTGAGACCTAATATTTCATCCAAATATCTAAAAGTGTTACTAAATTTTTGTATCAGATTTTGTTTCGATGGGTCTTTGCTGATTTTAATCATTAATTGTAACTCGTAACAATACAGAAACAGGTCCGCAATAAGTGGTGCACAGTTAGTCCCCATTGGAATTCCGATAACTTGACGATATACGGAATCTCCATAGCGAACAAAAATGTTATCTAGTAAAAATTCAAGTGCAGTTATCGTATCAAAGCAGGTCAAATAGAGCATTCATCTAAGTCAATGACGTGTAACAATATGAACAGAAGGAGATGTAGAGCATACGTGTACTTCAATGTCATATACTATTACAAAAGAAGGAAATGTAGAGCATACATGTAAGTCAATGACAGAAACTAGTACAAACAGAATGAGATGTAGTGCAAACATGCAAGTCAGACTGAGTGACAGATACGAATATAAACAGAAGGAGATGTAAATCATGCAAGTCCGTCAATGACAGATATAAATATAAACAGAATGAGATGTAGAACATACGTGTACGTTAATGACAGATACCAATACGAGCAGAATGAGATGTAGAGATACATGTACGTCGATGACAGTGACAAGTACAAAAAGAAGAACATGTAGAGCATGCGTGTCCGTCAATGACAGATACCAATACGAACAGAAAGTGACGGAGAGCATGCGTGTCCGTTATTGGCACAAACCAATAGGAGCAGAAGAAGATGTAGAGCATGCATGGTCGTCAATGACAGATACTAATACGAACAGAAGGAGATGTAAAGCATGCATGTACGTCAATGACAGATACCAATACGAACAGAATGAGATGTAGAGCATGCATGTTCGCAAATGACAGATACCAATACGAACAGAAGGAAATGTGCATGCGTATCCGTCAATGACAGATACACATACGAACAGGAGATGTAAAGCATGCGTGTCCATCAACGACAAGTACCAATACGAACAGAATAAAATGTGCATACGTGTCCGTCAATGACGGATACCTATACAAACTGGAGATGTACAGCATGCGTGTCCGTAAATTACAGATACCATTACGAACAAAAGGAGATGTAGAGCATGCATGTACGTCAATGGCATATGCCAGTATGAACAAAAGAAGATGTAGAGAATACATGTACGTAAATGACATGTACCAATACGAAAAGAAGATGTAGAGATAGATGTACGTCAACGATATATACCAATACGAAAAGGAGATGTAGAGATACATGTACGTCAACGATATATACCAATATAAAAAAGAGATGTAGAGATACATGTACGTCAATGATATATACCAATACGAAAAGGAGATGTGGGGATACATGTACGTCAATACTATATACAAAT